TGGGATACTGGAGCTCATACCCAAGGCTACACAGCTGAGTTCAGATCCCAGTGTATCTGATCTCACCTGCCCTCCTCCACTTGCTGCTAAGGAGAACAACATATATTAAGAGAGACTGAGCCTGCAGTGTTTTAGCAGGAGGATGGCCCAGGAGGCATGGCCCTCAGAAGGCGCTGGCTCCCAGAACAGACCCATTTCACAAGACAGGACCCACGGCCTCTCTGCTCTGTGTCTTTGTGTCCTCAAGTGAAAAATGGGGAGATGCCAGCCATTTCCCACTCTTTCTGGGCTGGCCCCTAAAATCAATTGGTCCCTCCCTCTATCTCCTGGCAGGACTGATCCAGCCATCCAATTCAGTGCCTACTCCCAACCACCAACATCCATTGCAACCTAGCACCAGAGCCTAGAAGGGGATTTCGGAAATGCCTTAAGCTCTGGCTTATAGAAATGGCCAAAGGGGCCTTGGGTGGGGAGTGCAGGGAATACACGAAGGGGACAGGAAAACAGAGATGTAATGAGACCATAATGGATTTCAGGGCAAAGACAGCTGGGGCTGCACCAGACATTCCTGTGCTTCTGTGGGTGGGGAGGGATCAGAGTGGCAGGTGGAGGCTGTCCTGTGCTCGGGGCCTCAGATCTCCCCTAGCTCCTGTTCTAATAGGTCCCTCAGCTCCTCTCCAAGTCTTGGACTGCAGAGCCTCTGGCTGCATTCTGAGCCCCAGAGTTCAAAGACCTTGAGCTCGGGTCATGCCTGAGTCACTGGCTTGGTGAGCTCCTCACCCCTCCCCACAGATGGATTAATTTCAGTCCCATCAGGAGGCCCCGGAAGCCCTCCAGCCTGTCCCCCCATCACTGCAGTGTCTCCCTGGTTGCTGGTTTCCCCTCCGTGTCCCCCACCCTATCCTGAGGCCTTTGAGGCATGTTTCAGAGTACTGTGCTCCCCCAGGGCCAGGAGATGTTCTTGTAGTCCGACCAGTGCCTTCGGCTACTCTTCTCCATCAATGGCAGGTGACAGAAGTGCCCCTCCCTCTCCCAGGCCAGCCATCAGGCCCCCTCCCCCAGGTGTAAACCTGCCCATCAGCATCCTCCTCCACTCAGGGACCACCAGGAAAGGCAGGGCTGGGCAGTGAATTAGGGGGCTTAGCTCAGCTCTCTGCCCCAAAGAGGACAAAACTCCATCTGTGTCTGAATGGGTTCATTAGCTCTGGGCTTGAGTTTCCTTCCTCCCCCAACGCCAGCAAGTCCTGCCCCCCAGAGCCTCTTCCTAACAAACCTGTTCTCAGGAGCTGCTGCCGACTCCTCCCCAGAACTTTGCTGCCAGCAGGCTGGGCTGGGGTACTGGCCGCTCAGAGATTACAGGTTATTGTCTGCTGGAGACAGGATGCTGAGGGCGTGGGGGGCTAGTGGGGGGACCCAGGCTTGGAATGTGAGACCGCATCCAGCTGTGGGTTGGCTGTCTCCTCTCCCCCATTCCACCCCCTCCCAGCCACCAGGTGCTCAGGTGAGTAGAGAGCAGCCAGTTTTCAGGAAGAGGAGGGGGACTTAAGGAGTAAATGGAGGAGACAGAAAGGGGTAGAAAAGGAGCGTGGTCAGCAGAGGGGTGTCAGGTGCTCTGGCCGATCAGATGACCACGCCCCCTTTCTGGCATGACCCAGGTAGCAGGTCCCCAGCCCAAGTACTGGACTACGAGGGGCAAGCCTGGGCTCCCTCGCCCACCACCATGGTTAATGCTGTAGCACCCCTCCGAGCCTGTTTCCCCTAAGAGGGAAATATAAGGGGATGATGGACAGAGGATGAGAAAGTGTGGACAGGAGAATGGGGCTCTTACAGCAGCAAGCCCTGAAGCAGTGCTTCAAAGTTCAGCAGCAAGAACTTTCTGGCAGCACCTCCTTCCCAGAGGTCTCTGTGGAACTCTCTGCTCCAATAACAGAGGTGCTAGGCAGGGAGTGTGCGGATGTCAGGGGAGTGGAAGCCCCCTGATGCCCTCCCCCATCCCTAGTCTCTGCTTTGGTCCCCTCTTCTACTACCCTTGGTGAAGCAAGTGTCCTGGTCTTTCTTCCTGCCCAGGGTTGGGACGCCGGAAACTCAAGGGAAAAGGCAGCTCCTTCCTGGCAAGGGGAGACAGGGCCCAGCAACCACTGCTTCCCAGGCAGGAGCAAGAGTCCCTCCCTCCTCCCTCCCCTCCTGCTCCTCGCATCCCCTATCCCTTCCCTCTGTCACTCTCCGGCTGGGTTTCATTTGCTCCTCACTCTGCACTCAGCGGTGCCTCCAAAGGCAGAGAATGCTCTTGGGTGAGTGCTGAGGGCATCTGAGCCAGGGGCAGGGAGGGGGCATTGAGACAAGGGGGCCTCTCTCCTCTCCCCGGTCCTACCCTTTTCCCACTATTGTTGGCCCCCCCTAAAGTTGTCTGTCCAGAGACTCCGGTAACCAGCTGATTCTTGGTACCTTTTCCCAGGTCCGGGGCTGGGCAGGGGAGCCCCACTCTGGCTGGGAACAAGGATGGGGGTAGGGGTGGCAGGCACAGTGGGGAAGCTAGAGGTGTACTCTGCAGGGGTGAGACCTGCTGCACTTCGGGGTGGATGCGCATCTAGGGAGCCTGTGTCAGATGTTCCCTGTATCAAATCATACCTTCAGCTGCTCTAAGGGGCTGCCTGAGCCTCCAAGGGGTGGTGGAGGGTGCTGAGGAGGGGGTTACTAATACAGCAGAGGGAGGGAGAGAGGCAGACAGATGGAGACAGGCAGAAACCTGGGTGGCTCCTACCTGGCGTCCAGCCACTGAGCTGGGGTCACTCCTCTGCCCCTCCCCTTCATTCACTGTCTCCTGGCTCACCTCTCCACACAGAGGTTACCTGGCACTCTTTGAAGAAGACAACCGTTACCCTCTCAGGGGTATTTCTGGGAAATCCTTCCATGGGGGCAAGGACCTGGAGGCTGTGTGGCTGGGGCAACGTTCTCCTTGTGCTGGGCTTGGGGGGTGTCCCTCTGTCACAGGGAGGGGGATGCAGAACATCAGTACATCCCGGGTGCTGGCTGGCTGGGGGCTCTGGGGAATGTGGGAGCCATGGTGGGAACCCTGGTCCTAGGTCAAGTGGGCACCCATGTGGTTCAGTTCAACCTCCGCTCCCCTTCCCTGCCTTTGGCTCTCTCCCCATCGTGGACTCCCATTTTCTTCACAGAGCTTGGTTTTATCTGTGATAGAAACAACCCCTTTACTCTTTGAGATGTGTGTATTTGCCTTGGGGAGGCCCCTACATCTTGTGGGGGGAAAGAGAGACTCAGGGTTTGGCTACATGAATTTGTGTGTGTGTCTGGTGCATTTCATTTTGTAAGGGTGGTGTATGTGCACCTATCTCTGGGTAAATGTGTCTGAATGCAGCCGTTTTTGTATATATACCTCTCCTCGTGATGGTGTGTGCTGCTGCAGGCCTGTTGTTTTGTCTGTATATGCCTCTGTTGGGATCTGTGTGTCTTTCTGTGTCTGTTCCTCTGGCTACATGTGATCTGAGTGTGTTCTTGTTGGTCTTGCCTGTCTGTGTGTACGTGCATGCTCATATGTGGCCTCTGTGCCCGCCCTTGCCCCTCAGCCAGCATGGGTAACTGTCTCTGCATGGTCACCACTTCCATATGCGTACCCATCAGTATGTGCAGACGGTCTCATCCTGGGGAGATGTGTATAATAGTATGCCTTGGAGTCTGTGCCTGTTGCCATCTGTGTGGGTGCCTCTGGACCTCAGGGTGTATGCCCTTTGCTCTTCTGTGTGTGACTTTCCCAGTGATGGCAAAACAGCAGGATGTGGTTTCCCTAGATCCCGTCCCTTGGGCGGCAGCTAGGGTGATGTTGTTTCATGCGACACATGCTCTGTCCCTTGCCCCAGCCTCAGCTGGACTCCTGGAGGTGGCCTCTTCTCTACCACTCAGCCTGGTTTGTTCATGTTTTACCAGAGCAACAACCCACTCTTGAGGCAGCTGCCCAAGGAGCCGCGGGTCCCAGCTATGGACCCCTGGCCAGCGTTGGGGAAGGACTGCTCCAAGACACTGTCAGGGCTGTTCTGCAAAGTGCCATCAGCAAAGACACACACACACCTGACCTTTCTGTGGGTGCAGAATTTTAGACCTGCGCAGCTGGTGGTGCCATCCTGGGGCAGGTGTGGGTGCTGCAGTGTCTCCCTTCATTTGAGTGTACCCACAAACCAGGCAGTCACACGTGTATGCACACATGCCATCACTCCTGCATCATCCCAGAGGCCCCGGGAACCAAGGTTCATGGTGAGTGTCAGAGGCAGAGAGTGGGTGGTGCAGAGCAGTGCTGTGTGACGAGTGCTGGTGGGGGAAGGGTCCCAGCAGCCATGGGAAAGGCCCCAGTCTCCAATCAACATGTGCCCTAGGCCTTGTGTGGGAGAGGACTGTACCCAGTTGTGAGGGGGCTAGAAGGCATTTCTGGGTGACTTTGTCCTGACCGTAAGAGGAAACTGGGTCCCTAAGTGCCCCTGCTCCCGCTCTTCAAATGGCCGCCACACTCAGCTCCTCATTGGTCCTGAGACCCATTCCTGTCCTGCCCTTTCCTCCTCGCCCAGCTGTAATACCTGCTTCACAGATGAGGGAACCGAGGCTTATAGCTAAGTGTCCAGCCCCAGGCCTCAGAGTTCGTTGTAACTGGGGCTGTGCTGCCTGTAGACCCCGGGTCTGGGAGGGTTGGCTTGCCCAGCCTCACAATCCTGCAAGTAACCCATGTCCTTTCTTCCCCTCTCCCGGGAGCCCACACAAGTCAGGGTCTCCTGTGCACCTGAGAGTTCTAGGAAGAGGCCAGTCCTGCCCCCTTTCTCTGGCATCCCCATTACAGATAATTCATTCGATTCAAGCATTGAGCTCTCAGCTCAAACACCTCCTGAGTCTCCCCACCAGGCTAGAGGCTCAAAATCCCCAGCATTCACTGCAATTCACTGCAGAGCCTTCCAGCAGCAGGCACTGCCCACGACCCTCCTTACATCCACTCTGCCTGGACCTTTGTGAACCTGCATGGCACTTTCAGCTTTCCCATGGTCGCTCTGCCAGTCCGGCCGCCTGGAAGGCCCTTCCCCTGGCAAAAACCTCCCCTATACTGCTCTGAAACCTAATTGACTCTCCTTGCGGACCTTCAGCTCACCTTTGGTTGTGATCCCAAAGCATGTTGTTCGGAACTCGGAGCACTCGCTGGGATGCAGCCTCCTTAGCCTCGCCCTGGGTGGCTCTCACCTGTGAGCTCTCACTTGCTAGCTCCTCTAGGAACCGACGGTGCAGGTGATGAATGAATGACTGTCCTTCCGCTCGAGGGGAGCATCCGTCCTGCGGTCTAACCTCAGTCGCTCCTGCTGTGGCGCACGCAGCGCGGGAGGCTGAGGGTGGCGCCGGGCTCAGCACGCGTGGGACGGGAGTGGCGGCAGGTGGGCGCGGCCGCGAGAGCCCCGGGGGCGCCGCCAGTCGGCCCGCGACCCCGGCCCGCACCGGCGCTGGCGCCTCTTCGCCCCGGTTACCGCTAGTGGCTGCTGTCGCTCAGTGGAGCCCGAGGAGACCGCGGCCAGAGCGTCCACCGCGCAAGATGGTGGCTCCCGTGGCTCCGTGAGTGTGTGCGGGCGGGCGGGGGCCGGCCGGGCGGGGCGCCCCCTCCCAGAGCTTCCGGACTGGGGCCCTGGGGCAAGAAGGGGGGGCGGAACCCGGACCCCCTGTGGGACCCAGCCGAGGGCTCCTCCATCACGCGCCCCCCAGAGGAAGTTCCCCTGCCCTGGGCGATCCGACCCCGGGAGGGTGGGCCCCGCGTGCAGGCGGCCCCAACCTCAGACGGGCTGCCAGCGAGCGGGCGCCCTGCCCCTCCTCTGCCGGGAGCCTGGACTTCTCTTTAGTGGGGTCCTTCAAGGAAGGGGCCCGAAGGAGCCTGGGGACCAGACTGCAGACCACCATGCATGGGCCAAGTAAACACTGTTTGAGGCTTACTTGCCTGGGTCGAGTGGGGACCGCCGACCACACACAATCACCTCTGGAGCCCCATCAGCTTGCCAAGGTGTGAAGAGGTGTGAGGGACCTGGGTCTGACAGGTACACCCTCCTGGTCATCCTTGGCCACCTAGTCACGTTTTATATGTGTACATCCCACCCCACCCAGCCTGGTCCCCTCAGGTTGAAATAGAGGAATGTCAGTAGTTATTGACTAGTATTTTTAGACCAGCGCTGTCCAGTAGAACTTTCTGGGATGTGTATCTGGGCCATCTAATACAATAGCCACTAGCCACTAGTGACTTTTGAGAACTTGAAATGCGGCTGGTGTGACTGAGGAACTGAATTTTCAATTGTTAGTAAATTAGTGAATTCTGATTCATTTTAAATGTCCACATGTGGCTGGTGGCTCCTCTATCAGATAGTGCAGTTTCAGAATCTCCATCTTTCCATGCCTCCTCCCTATCTACTCTTTTGTTCTTTTCTCAAAAACACTCTAGGTCCCGGAGTAATTTCATCCTTCCATAGGGTGGGGCAGGATAGCTAGCTTGTAGGTACAAAAGGATCTGACAAACTTCCCAAAGGGTATCACCCTGGACTTGTACTTCCTCCCCATTCTAAGAGCCTTTGGGTGGTGGACTGGACAAGGTCACAGAATCATGGGCTCTTGAAAGGAAAGGAGGTCAAAGGCAGCTGCTTTAGCCGCCCAGCAGGTGCCCACAGCCCATCCTATTGCTTTGTCTGCCTGAGAGCTAGAGGGTCACTCATTCACTCCCCAAGTTCTGTGGAGCACCTGCTGGGTGCCAGGCAGTGTTCCTTTCTCTGGGGTTCAGACATGAAAAAGTTAGCTACCTTTCCTGCCCTCAGGGTGCTTGCATGAGAGAGAGAGAGTGCTAAGCAGTAGAACTGTACAGAAAAAAGTGATTTGCGATGGGGAGTACAAGGGAAGGTATAGTGACAGAGAAGAAGGGGACTTCCTGGGAAGGGATAGAGAAGTCTTCCCAGATGAGGGGCTGGTTAAGCTAAGACCAGAGGGCAAATGGAATAAGCACAGTGTTGAACAGGAGGGTGGGAATATTCTGGAAGCAGGCACAGCACGTGCAAAAGCTCTGGGGATGAGAACCTTGTACTCTGGACAGAGGCACAGGTGGCCTGCAGAAAGGTCAGCAACACCTGGGCATTTGACAGACCTCAAAAGGGATTCTGGTGCTGACCTCAGAGCATCAGGCAGTCATGGAGGGATTTAAGCAGTATATTTTTAAAAGCCCCCTCTGCTGCTGGGGGTCTGAATGGCTCAGAGAGAGGTAAGAGTGGAGGCCCAGAATGCAGTCAGAAAGTGATTGCCATAGTCCAGGCAAGAGATGAAGGTGGCCTGGATGAGGACAGTAACAACAGCATGGAGAGAGGGGATCCACTCAGGGCAGACTGTGGAGGTGGAATCGGCAGACCTGTGGGTGGGCTGGGTCCTGGATGTGGAAGAGAGCAGGGGCTGGAGGGGCAGGTTTCTGGCCAGAGTGCTTGGGTAGAACAGGCCATTTCCTGAGCTGGGGACGACTATGAGAGGAGCTATTTTATAGGCACAGATTGAGAGCTCCACTTAGATAAGCCAGGATGGTGGTCGGATGGAGAGGTGTGGTGCCAAAGAGTGACCCGGGCTGCGGTTGTATATTTCAGAGTGGCCATGAGAGAAGGTTCTGAACTCTTTGGACAGTTTTAGGTTAGGAGGAGGAAGAGGAGATGACATCAGAGCCTAAGGAGAGGCTGGTGGTGGGAAGGGAAAACCAGGGCATGTGGTGCCTTGGAAGCCAAGAGAAAAGCGTTTCAAGGAGGGTGTGGTGAGCGGTACCAAATGCCCCTCAGGGTCTACAGGAAGAGGACCAATGAGTTTCACCTGTATCTGGCAAAACAGAGCACCTTTCCTTGCCCCTGGAATTCTACTCATCTGCCCTTGTTTTATTTACTACTAAGTGCCAAGTTCCAGGCAGTGTGCTGGGTGTATCAGATGAACAAGACAGTCGCTGCTTTCTCAGAGCCTAGAATCATCTAACCAACAGCCGTAGAAACAGGAAGTTCTTTATGTAGCCAAAATAAATCCTTGCATTCTTTTAAACAACCGACTTTTGCTGAGAGGCATCTGCATGCTCAGCCCTGTACAGGGACTTAGAGATCTGAAAATGAACGAACATGATCTTGGCCTTCCAGGAACCAAGTGCAGAGATACACTGACACTCCCTGAGTTCACCATATTGTATTACCAAGACCCATGCAGAAGAATGGGGAGACTAGAGGAGAGGTACCAGCTCAGGTTGTGGGGAAGGTGACGAGAGGATGCCTGAGCTGCTGACCAGGAATGAATGGGACTGAGCCAGGGAAAGGGGAGGGGTAGAGAATTCCAGGCGCAGAGGATGAAAGCAGGAGCAAAAGTCACAGCTGAGTGTGGGAGGGCAGGGAGGGTGAGCCTTTGGAGTTGGCCAAGGAGGCAGGAGAGGTGAGAGGCTTGGGGGAGGCTCACTGGCTCATGGTGAGGTGTGTAAACAGGCAGAGGACACCACTGAAGAGGGGCAAGCAAGGGAGTGATGGAGTGTGAACTTGTGCCCTGGATGCTGCATGAGGACACATTTGGGGGGATGACTGCAGAGGCAGGGGCAGATCACGATCCAGGTGAGATGGTGCAGGCTGGGGGCTCAGTGTGGCTTTGCAGTCAAGAAGAGTTGGTTTCTAATTCTACCTCAGCCACTTACTGCTTGTGGAGCCTTGGGCAAGTCACTTAAAGTGCCCAAGCCACTTGGTTTCCTCCTCTTCAAAATGAGGTGGTGACAGCCTCAGAGAGTACTTGTGAAGGGCATCTTGGTCTTCTGATGGTGTCACTGCAAAGCCCTTATAGTACAGGGCCTGACTCAGTTCACACTTAATAAATGATACCGCTGTTGTTATCAGTAGGCATGGAGAAAGGTGCCAGGTTTGAGAGATAATGAGGAGGTAGGGGGCCGATCTGGCCCAGTGGCTGGACATGGCCTTCTGATCCTGAACTGTTCATCCCGGTCTTGTGCCAGGGGTGGTGGCAGAGTGAGGGGGGCAGAGGCAACCAGTGAATTGCCTTCAGTCTGGGGCCAGCCCCCAGGGTAGCCCCACTTCTGGGCTATCCTTCCCCGAACCACACTTCTGGTGTGTGTGTACACGCATGTTCATGGAAGAGAGCTCCACAGCAAACAAATCCCATTCCTCCATACTGTGGCTCCAGGAGCTCAGCTTCGTGCTAACAGCATTCTGGTGAAATAAGCGACTGGAGGGACCTGTTGTCCTTGGGGGGAGGAGTCAGGAGGTCTGAGTTTTAGTCCTGGCCCAGCCATGAATTATTCATGAACCCTGAGAACCCATGTCTGTCTCTGGGACTCAGTCCCCAACTCCCCCTGCCCCTGTAAAATGTGGTTGCATAGATGGTGCCCATCTTTCTAGCTCTGAGTTCTCAACAGCCAAAGCTAATCACTGCCATGTCCTGAATGGGAGACCCTCAGAGGGGGCTGGGGACCCTGTACCTCCCCCACTTTGGATAACGTTCCATACATGGCCCTTTGCATGACCCTGCCCACTCCCAGTAGCTCTTGTCTTTTAGGTCCAATCCACCCCTCAGCTGAAGAGTACTCTGTGGGCAGCGTGAACCCATGGTGGTCCCCCTAACACCTCTCCCTTATCTCTTTCATCTCCAGTCTCCCACCAGCGGAGCAGGAATAAACTTCCCTGGCTAAGTTAGATGGATGGTCCCCATTAGCCTGGCGGGCTTACCCCCCTCCTGCATCCCCACTAACTCCCACTGTCCAGGGAGGTGCCTCAGTAGTGGGGGAGCTGGAGGGCCAGGTCGTTGGTGTGGGGGTTGGGGGCACCCTGCCCCTCAAACAGGAATGGTGCCCCCGGGAAAGAAGCCAGCTGGAGAGGCCTCCAACTCCAACAAGAAATGCAAGCGCTATTTCAACGAGCGCTGGAAGGAGGAGTTTCCCTGGCTGGACTTTGACTGCGAGCGGAAGCTGATGTTTTGTCTCGAGTGCCGCCAGGCCCTGGTGCGAAACAAGCATGGCAAAGCTGAGAACGCCTTCACCGTGGGCACCGACAACTTCCAGCGCCATGCCCTGCTGCGCCACGTGACCTCAGGGGCCCACCACCAGGCTCTGGCTGTCAACCGGGGCCAGCCCACTTTGGAAGGGCAAGCCAAGGGAGGAGGGGCCCACCCGGACCTGGCAACCACCCCTACCTCCAGGGGCGTCAAAGTGGAGGTGGACCCAGCCAAAGTGGCTGTGCTGACCACAGTGTACTGCATGGCCAAGGAGGACGTGCCCGATGACCGCTGCTCAGCCCTGCTTGAGCTGCAGAGGTTCAACCTGTGTCAGGCGCTGCTGGGCACAGAGCATGGTGATTACTACAGCCCCAGGAGGGTGAGGGACATGCAGGTGGGTGGCAGCCAGAGGGATGGGGGAAGGGTTGAGGAGGGAGGACACTGAGCCATCTGGGCACAACACCAGCATTCCAAGCCCCTGGGGCAGCAGCCAGAACACCTCATACATACTTTCACCCATCAGAACCTTCCCTGAGTGTGTACTGTGTGCCAGGCCCTGGGCCAGCTGCTGGGGGCACAACAGTGAAAAGGCCAGATCAGGCCCCGTCCTTGAGGGCACCAGGGGTATTCCCCTCATGACCTAGGCCAGAGGTTGCAAACTGGTGACCTGGGGTGTTGACTGAGCCACAGATGTGTTTGGTTGATTTTCAAAGTGTTTTTGAAAAACTAGTTTCCAAGTTAAAAAACTTGAGAAGTTACATATAAAAATGTAGATTTGTGACTTCTACTGAAAAGCTAGATCCCTGTGCTCTCAGGGTACATGCAAGTTGCAGCTCTGTCCTAGCTACTAACTGTGTGAGTCCTGGGGGGCGGGGGTGGGAGAGTTGGATATCATCCTACAGAGAGATGACAGACAGCACACACCGGGGCCCTGTGTAACTGGTCGGAAGTTGGGAGTGAATGTGTCTATCAGTTAATCCTTGAGCAGCAGACTGGAGGGAGACCCCCAGGAATCAGGCAGAAGGGAGTGGTGATGTAGAAACATGAACATGCATACAGTGCTGCAGGATCTTTATGGTTCATAAAGCATTTTTACATTTATAAGCACAACAACAAAAAATTACATTTGTAATTCACAACAACCTTTTGAGGAGATTGGGGCAGGCGTTATCCTTAGTTTAGAGCTGAGGAAACTGAGGCTCAGAGAGGTGAAATGACTTGCCCACAGTCACATAGCCAGTAAGTGGCAAATCTAGGATTAGTCCCTAAGTCTGTTTGACTCCAAGGCCTGTGCCCTTTCTGTCACCTGGTACTCCCTGCATTCCCTTCTCAGGGCAAGCCTAACTCTGTCCTCCCTCCCTTTCTCTCCCCGGCTGTCCCAGGTGGCCATTGCCAGTGTCTTGCACACAGAGGCCTGCCAGCGCCTGAAGGCATCCCCGTATGTGGGGCTGGTGTTGGATGAGACCAGGGACTGGCCTGAGTCCCACAGTTTGGCCTTGTTTGTCACTTCGGTGTCCCCCTGTGATGGCCAGCCTGCCACCACCTTCCTAGGCAGTGTGGAGCTGCAGGAGGGCGAGGTCACCGCTGGCCAACTCCTGGACATCCTGCAGGCCTTCGGCGTGTCTGCATGCAAGCTGGCCTGGCTCAGCTCAAGCCTCCCCAGTGACCGCCTGGGGAGTGTGGGCCTGCAGCTCCGGGCTACCTGTCCCCTGCTCACTGAGCTACACTGCCTCCCTGGCAGGACAGATCCCAAGCCCCCTGCCTACCTAGGTGAATATGAAAGTGTCCTGGATGCCCTATTCCGCCTCCACAGTGGCCCCGGTTCCCACATGGTCCCTGAGCTCCGGGCAGCCCTGGACCTTGCAGCTATTGACTTGGCAGGACCACGGCCAGTACCCTGGGCCTCCCTGCTGCCTATAGTGGAAGCAGTGGCAGAGGCTTGGCCTTGCCTGGTGCCCACACTGGAGACCTCTGCCCCAGCCTCCCCTACAGCTAGGGCACTGGCCCTTGCCCTGCGCCAGTTCACCTTCGTGGCCTTCACCCACCTGCTGTTGGACACTCTGCCCTCCATGCAGAAGCTTGCCCTTGTCCTGCAGCCAGAAGAGCCCGACTTGGCCCTGCTGCAGCCTCTGGTGATGGCAGCCGCAGCCTCCCTCCAAGCGCAGCGCCGCTCAGGCGGGACGCGCCTCCGGGGCTTACTGCAGGAACTGGAGTCCTCCAGCCTCAGCTTGGGCCGTGGGCGCTGCACCTACCGCGGCGTGGAGCTGGTCGGCTACTCAGAGACTGCGGTCAGGAGCTTGGAGCAGCTGCGGGGGACCCTCCTGGACTCCATGTGGAGGGGACTGCAGGACTCCTACCCCGGGCCCTCGCTGGACGCCGTGGCCGCATTCGCGGCGATCTTCGACCCCCGCCGCTACCCGCAGGCACCAGAGGAGCTGGGCGTGCACAGCGAGGGAGCGCTGCGCGTCCTGCTGCGCGCCTTTGCTCCCGCCCTGGTGCGCCAGCGGGCGCTGGGCGACTTCGCGCTCTTCAAGCGTGTGGTGTGCAGCCTCGGGCGGCTGGGCCCGCAGGCCCTGTGCGCCAAGCTGGCCTGTGCGCGCTCCGAGCTGCACGAACTTTTCCCCGACTTCGCCGCCCTCGCCGCCCTGGCCTTGGCGCTGCCCGCGGGCGCTAGGGTCCTGGACAAGGTTGGCCGCAGCCGGGAGTTGCGGTGGTCGGGGCAGAGCGGGGCTGGGGAAGGCCGGGGCGGCCCGGCGGTGAAGATCGCCGTGGATGGGCCCCCACTGCACGAGTTTGACTTTGCGCTGGCAGTGGAGTTCTTAGAGAGTGGGTGGAGGGAGGCGCTCCTGGGGTCGCAGCTCACATGAGGGTGGCCTCCTCTCTGCTCAGCCAGCCTGGGGCCCGGGGCGCTCTCAGGGCCAAGCCAGACTTGCCCGGGCTTCACCCAGATGGCCTACTAACGGGCCTCCCACCCACCTGCCCATGCTTCCTCCCCTCGGCTGTGGAGGAGGCGCTGGGTCGAGGGAGACCTTGAGAGTGTGCAGAGATGCTGGGGTCTAAATGTCATTCCTGACCTCAAGAGTAACTCAACCTTTTCCCTCTAGACTCAGCCCAAGTTTGGGCCCTAGGAAGGTTGAGGAGTCTTGGATGGAGGGAGGAGGACTGGGTCTTGGGAACTGTGGGCCGAGGGAAAGGAGAATGGGGCCTTGACTGGTTGTAGCTCCTCTGAGCATCACCTCTACAGTAAGACTGGGGAATAGATAATTGTCTTTGTGTTTTTGACACACAGCACAGGACTGTCTCTGTCCATAAGCTTACAGTTCAAGGAAGGTAGTGGTGTCCTCCCTCCCCTCCTCACCAATAGGCTGCCTGAGGCTTTACTGTATTTTGGCTTTGTATATAGACATATACATGTATACAGGTAAAATGAATCTGTCCCATCTGTCATACTGTTACACACACACATGCACGCACACACAAAATCTAAAAAGACTTCTTTTGGTTTTGCAACAAGGTCCAAGAAAGTCCCAAATGGACTGGATTTATTTCTAATTCTTTTGTTCCTCAAAGTCTGGTTGCTCACCAAATTCCTAGCCTTCCCATGCCCTGGCCTCAGACCTTTAAGACCAAAGACTAAAAAGTCACAGTGCTGGACTGGCCAACTCTTGAGTATCAGCCTCAGGTGTGACCCAGGGATATTGGAGGGCTTTTTACTGCTGGGGGAAGCACTTGTGGCCTCACCAGAGCTGGGAGCACAGCCCTTCAGATTCCAGTGGGTTTCCCATCTGTTCTGACAGCCTTGCTGTGAATGATGTGGGGACTGAAGGGGGTGGTTAGTGCGAGGGGAGGGGGCTGGCCTTTCTCTGGGCCTCCTGGGCTTGGGTTTAATTTGCAATAAAGTGGAAACCCAGTGCAATGTGCAGTCTTCATGGTGGTGTGTGTGCCAGGGGCCCAGCCAGACTCCTCTCTCCTGTTCCTTGGCCTGACTCACCTCTGTGGGGTTCATTTGGGCTTTTATGCTGCCTCTATAGGGGCAGGAGGGTCATCCTGGGCTGGGAACCTCACACTGTGGATTCCCTGCTTCTGCTTCCCCAGTTGTGGAGAAGAGAGGCACAGAAATGGGCTATAATGGCCCTGGGCTTGGCCAGTGCTACTTTGTGTAGGAGAAAGAAGTTTCTACCCTGGCTTGACACCCAAGAGGCCCATCAGCCTCTTTTTCTGGCTGCGGAGGTAGTTGAGAGACCTGTGCCTCCCCACTTCAGACCCTGCCCTTCTTCCTCCTGCAGCAGGCCCGATCTCCAGTGCCCCCAGACCCCTGCTGGCCTCCCTGCCCCTGCCCACCAGGCCTCTGCAGCCCCAGCTGGACTTCAAGCACTTGCTCGCCTTCCACTTCAATGGCGCCACCCCGCTCAGTCTCTTCCCCAACTTCAGCACGGTACGGGCGGGCGGGGCTGGTGGGTGGGGGCATGCAGCCAAGCTTGGGGGTGGGCAGGGAATGTGGTCTCAGAGGGGCTGGCTTTCAGAAGCTGGGTATAACTAGGCGAGACATCCTCAAGAGTGACAGGTGCTCCCCAAATGGGATCCCTGGGCTCAGCTCTCCCGTAGGGCCAGGGAACAAGGATGATGTCACCCCCTCTCCTAATAACAGCTGCCATGCCTGGAGAGCCCAGAGACTGTAGGTTTCACTTGAGTTTTTGTATGGGGACTTCCATCGACGATCTGTGGAGGAGGTGTGCACTTGGGTATACCTTTCCATTTTACTTTGTGTCTCTATAGGTCTTTGTGTGTTATTTGCAGATGTGAATTTGTGTGTGTGTATATTTGTAAACAATTCTTTGTGCCTGGGTAATTATGTGCAATTAATGAATGTGCCTATGTACCTGAGAAGTGTTTTTGGGCCTTTGTGGCAACTATGTACATGTCTGGTGTCTGACCTCTGAGTGTGTGTCCATGTGATTTGGATGCTTGTGAGTTTATCTGTGGGTGCCATTTGTATGTAGGTGAGTGTGTCTCTAATTTGTAATGGCCTGTAACAAGCGTATGTGCTGTGTGTCTGTATATCAGTCTGTGTATTTCCATGTGTGTATTTGTGTGGGCATGAATTTTCCTTCACTACGTGAGCTATGAGAAATGCTCCCCTTTCTTTTTAATTCTGAAAACTCCAGTGGATTCATAGATAAGCCCCATTGCATCCTGACAAGATGGTGGGGAATTCAGCCTCAGTCACCCCTAGGAGTCTCTGCCTTCTGACCCTCCAGGGCTGCACAGAGGTCCTGACACATTTAGGGAGGGTCCTTGGGTCTCTGGTCCCCACTGTTGCTTGCTAACATGTGCACCGTTCAGGCACATATTTCCTCACCAGTAGCACTGCTGTTGTCCTCATCGCTGGGGACCCTGTAGGCCATTTTCCTCTGAAGCCCGGTCCCTTGCCCGTCCACGGCCCTGGGTGCTATGAACCAGTGAGGGTTAGAACCTCTTTTGTCCTCAGGGGAATTTCTGAAAACAATGCTTTTCTCTCAGTCTCTGTTCTCTCTTCTCAGGAAGGTTTGGAAAGTTCCTCTTAACAAGCGAGCCCAGACAACTTCTGCTTTTGGCCCAACAAGCCAGCCCGAGAAAAGGAACAAGCTTAGTCTGATAGAAGAAAAAATTATTTAAAACACGGAAAAGAAAAAAGTGCAAATTATATTCCAGATAAATGATCCTACTGGGAATTCTTTGGCCTCCACGGCCACCTGGCCCCTCTGGCCCTCCACCTCCCCGGCTGTGGCTCTCACTCTCCGTGTCCGGACCTGTGGTCCATGGCGGAGCTGATGAGCTAAGCCTTACCTCGCCTAGCCCACAGGTCCAGCACAAGGCTGGGCGACAGAGAGGAAATCCCAGCAGAGGGACTCTTTGTCCCTTCCCTGCTTCTCCCTGCCTCCAACTCTCTGTCCCAAGACTTGTAATTCTTATGAATGAGGAAAAAGAGACCAGAGGGGCAGCAAGAGATGCCACAGTGATCATCAGAACATGGCTCTGTTTCTCAGGATCGTGGAGGTCACCCTGGCCATCTCTCTGCCTCCCAGCAGAAGCCCAGGTTGACAAAGTCAGCCGGGGACTAGGCTGTTTCTTTTTCTGTGTCTGATATCCACAAGGATGGGAAAGTTCTTCCTGTGGGCTGACCACTGCCCTCCAAGATGGTCTTTAGTTTGGGGCTTTTTTTTTACTGTTACCGGCTTCCCAAGCTGACCCCAGAGTTACTGTGCCCTCCCACCCCCTTCATAGATGGACCCGGTCCAGAAAGCTGTCATCAGCCACACATTTGGTGTCCCCTCCCCTCTGAAGAAGAAGCTCTTCATTTCCTGTAACATCTGCCACCTGAGGTTCAACTCAGCGGTGAGACGTAGTAGTGAAAACAGGCTGGGTAGGGGGCTGGGTAGGGAGAGGGTTGTACACTGGGCTTCCAGGGTCTTTCCTGGAGGAAGAGGGGGTCAACGGGGCCATGGTCTGCATTTTCCATCCCTGGGTGCAGAAGAGGCACTCCTGGTCCTTGATCCTTCGCATCCTCTCCTTTCTCCAGGTTCCTGTACCCCTTCCCCCGTAGTTCCCCCAGGACTCCATGTCCCTCCCTGTGCCTCTCCTATGTTCTGGATACTTCTGCAAGACAGATCATCCTTCCCTACTCTGGGTCCCAGGTCTGGAGCTGAGTTCTTAAAGCACCTGAGAGTTTACAGAATATGTTCATGCCCATCACCTTAATTAGTTCTCATAATCGATCTGTGAGATGGGTAGAGGCACCATTATGATCTTCACTTTTCAGATGAGGAAACTGAGCCTCAGAGAGGTTAAGTGACCTGCCTGAGGCCACACACAGCTGGTAAGTAGAGGAGCTGGGATTTGAACCCAAGGACCACATACTTTGTACCACAGTCTGCCCCTAGATAGTGGACGAACCTCATTCTGGCTTCCCAGGGAAGGTAAACCTTCTGTTCAGGCAACTCTGAGGCATGGAGAGATGCTCTCAGCCGACCTGCTCTGGTGAAAGGACCAGGAGAGGAGCCAGTGGGTCCTGTTTTTCCTGTTTGGGAACGACAAGCCACGACCCCTAGTTGAAGGAGGGAGGACACTGACAGGCCAGATTTGGGAGTCCCCTCCGGCTTTCAGGTTTCATGAGAGTCGTGGAGAAGTGGACAGGGGGAGTTCACTCCGAGGGAGGGACTGTGTCTTCTTCACACTAGGCCCCTGTCATAGGGCCTGGCAAATAGCAAATGCTGAATAACTATTTGCTGGAAAAAAAATGAATGAAAGGCTGAATGCCTTATCTGGGGTACATATACCCCAAACTGTGAAGACTGTTGTTTTCTCCATTCATGCATTTATAAACTTGGTAGCTAACATTCTTTGAGCACCTACCATATATACTAAGACATTGTCATTTATGTTTTCATTGTAATTCTTACAACCCTGGGAGGTCAGTATTATCATCACAGAGTTTACAAATGAAGAAACAGGCTCAGAGAGGTGAGGTTACTTTCCCAACGATGCACAGCTACTAAGTGGCTGAGTCAGAATTTGAAGGCGAGGTTGCTTGCCTGGGAGCTTATGTATCAGAATGCATTCTGTAAACCTCAGGGCCACACACATGCCACCCAAATGGCAATGACAAGGATTCGGCCCTGTGTCACCAGAGTCCTGCTCCCTCTACCCTGCCCCCTGCTCAGCAGCAGCTCATGGGTGGGAAGTGTGGACTCAGCAAAGGAGTGGTGACCCCAGGCCCTCCCCTCCCCAGAACCAGGCTGAAGCACATTACAAAGGCCACAAACATGCCAGAAAACTCAAGGCTGTTGAAGCTGCCAAGAGCAAGCAGAAACTGCAGACCCCGGCCCGGGACAGGGTACTGATGTCCCCAACCCCACCTTCAGCCAGTGGCACCCCTGGAGAGCCACAGCACAAAGGTCGGTCCTGAACTCCTCTCCCCACTCCTCACTCCAAATCTGGTCTCTGACAAGAGGTTGAGAGATTTCTGGTTATTTTTTGTTTGTGTTAGAATATTCTTTACACACAGAAAAAAGCACGTGTCACAAGCAGAGCTCAGTGGATTTTCCCAGTCTGAATACCATATCGAGAGCAAGAAATACCCCGGTGCCTGCACAGGCACTCCAGAAAGGCTCCTTGGGCGCCCTCCCGTCACTCCCTTGCTGTGCTAGCTTCTTGGGCTGCTGAAATGGATGACCACCAACAGGGTGGCCGAAAACAACAAATGCATTTTCTCACAGTTCCGTGGTTCAGAAGTTTGAGATCAATGTGCCAGCAGGGTTGATTCCTTCCTGCTGAGATGGGCTCAGAGGATCTGTCCCCCATGCCTCTCTTCTAGCTGGTGGTGGTTGCTGGCAATCCTTGGTGCTCCTTGGCTTGTAGAGATGCATGGCTCCAACCTCTGCCTCTGTCTTCACATCACGTTCGGCCCTGTATCCGTGTCTGCACATGGCCTTCTTGTAAGGACACCAGTCACTGGATTAGTACCCACCCCGATCCAGCATGATCACATCTTGACTAATTACATCTGCAAAGATCCTATTTCCTAATAAGATCTCATTCTAGGGGGCCAGATGGACATGAATTTGGGGGTGGGGGACACTGTTCAACTACCTACACCCCACCCCACCCACGGTAACTATAATCCTGACTTTTCTCCCCATTAATCAGTTTCATCTGGCTTTGGTGAATCACAGAGTATGTAGGTGTTTGTGTCTGGCTTCTTCCACATTGTTGCACGTAGCTGTAGGCTGTTCTTTTTTTTTCATTGCTGTGTAATGCTCCCGTACATGACCATACAACTCTTCTTAAAAAATCTATTCTCCTGTTGGTGGAGATTTGGACAGTTTCCATTTTTATACTATTATGAAGAATGCTCTATGACTGTTCCAGTACCTCTTTTTGGTGACTTCCACTTATTAACAATTAGCTAATAACTGCAGATTCTCAGGGCTGTGAGAGCTTTCTGAGACCCCTTTGTACAACTTCATGATTTCAGATGGGGAAACTGAGGCCCAAAGAGACCCAAGTCTGTCCATGAGTTGGTGGGAGGGTGAAGTCTGGAATTCAGTGTTGGTTATCCCTACACCAGGGACCCTCTCACTCTGCCAGGCCACCACCAATTTGTCCGTGCTTAAAATCATAGTCCCGAGGATCATCTTGGGCCTCACACTCTTACCAGGTCCCTTCCATCTCCCCAACAGTTGCTGTAGCTCCACCCTCTGGCCCCCCACTCCAGCCACCACTGACTCCGGACCCCGTGTCCAGGGGGCCGGCTCACTCAGACCTCTTGGATGCTGCCTCCTCTTCCTCTCCTACCTCCTGCCCACCCTGCTCCCCAGAGCCTGGGAGAGAGGTGCCAGGGTCTGAGTCCACTGCAGCTGCTGTGAGCAGCGGTGTGAGTGGGGAAGGCAGGAGCGAGAAGGGGCGCCTCTACTGCCCCACATGTAAGGTGACAGTGAACTCTGCCTCCCAGCTTCAGGCTCACAACACAGGTCAGTGCGCCGCCACCAGCTGGAGTCCAGGGAGGAGAGGGCAGGGGAATTTCTGGGCACCAGATGTGGGCAGACTAGAATTGGTGGGTACTTTGCTCAAGGGCTTGGTGACAGAGGCACTGTGCTCAGTTTTGATTGGATGGGCATTTAGGGTCCTGCTAATGCTTGGGGAGGGAGAACTGGGCAGAGAAGTCTGAGGTAGCAAGCAGGGAAGAGTTGCTCCAGAGAAGACAGGAGACCCCTCCTCCATCTCTCCTTAGGTCAGACCCTGAAGGAAGGGATTGAGATGCAGGTGCAAGGAAGCTAACCAGTTACATTGCATGAAGAAGGCCTTCCTTGGGGAGGTTGGCAGGATGAGAGAGGCTGGGAGGACATTGCTGAGATGGGAAAGAGAAATCTCATGGCTGGGGGGCTGTGTCTGCACAGAGCAGCCTGGGGACTTAAAGAGACAGCCAAATTGACCTAGTTTGGAGGGGTTCTCTGTGGCCCTTGAAGCCCCTTTTAGGTGCTGACAGGTTGTCTTCTTTCTTCCCTCCAGGAGCCAAGCACCGGTGGATGGTGGAAGGTCAGAGAGGCACTCCCCGAAGGGGACGGGGACGCCCAGTGCCCCGGGGAGGAGGTGGACACAAGGCCAAGAGAGTAGCCGGGGCCCGGGGGGGCCGGCAGGGGCCCAGCCCTGCCTTCCACTGTGCTCTCTGTCAGCTCCAGGTCAATTCAGAGACCCAGCTCAAGCAGGTGGGGGAAGTGAGGCTGGGATTGTGATTGGAGCAGGGGTGGGACCACAGCTGGTCTGGAGTAGGGAGCCCGAGGAGAAGGTGTGGGTGGAGGAAAAGGAGCAAGGTTAAAGGGACAGTGGGCTCCTAGAGGGCTAAGGCCATCTCCTGCCTGCCCTTCCAGGGCCACTCCAGGCTGATACCTAGTAAACGTGCCTTCAGTGTGAATGATGGGTAGAGGAAGGGTGAGCTAGTCAAGGATGATGGAGTAGTTTGGGGTCCCGGCTTCCTCATCTTGTTCCCAGTCTCTGTGTGTCTGTCCAATCCATCAGCACCTGAGCAGCAGGAGGCACAAAGACCGCCTGGCTGGGAAGCCCCCCAAGCCCTCCAGCCAGCACAGCAAGCTGCAGAAGCACGCAGCGCTGGCTGTGAGTATTCTCAAGGTATCTGTCTCCAGGCAACAGAGCTGGGACCCGGGTCAGGAGGGGAGGGGAGGCTGCAAGGGAGGGCCAGCTGGGGCCTGGGCATGGGACAGGAAGGAAGCCATCTCCCCTTCAAGGCTGCCTGGGCAGGGAACAAGCTGGGCTTGGGTTTTGGCTGTCTTGTGATCTGTTCCGAGGAATTTCCGGGGAGGTAGGCCTAGCTAGTAATCTCTGGGGCAAGAGCAAGAGGTGGGCATGCACCTCCTAGTTACCGTCTCTATCCCTGCCCACCAGCCACCACAGTCTCTTCCCTTTGCCCAACCTAAGATTCTCCTCCTTCTGGGCAGGAAGACAGGTGGTGGAGAAAGCCCTTTGGAATGCATTTTTGAGGGTGGTAAGGGAAGAGGATTTAGGTTTGGAATCCTAAAAGGCACGTTTTTCCTGCAACAAAAAGCCCAAGGAGGGGGCCCCGGGAGGGGGTGGCATTCTCCCAACGTCAGAGACCGGGTCCATCCCTCTCTCTCCTTTGCAGTCTAAACTGGCCTTGCAGAAGCACCTCACCAAGGCACTGGCAGCACGCATCCTGCCCAGCCCGATCCCTGCTGCAGCCGCGGCTATCTGTGCCCTGCCGGGGCCCCTGGCCCTCCGGCCTGCTCCCGCAACAGCCACCACCCTCTTCCCAGCTCCCATCTTGGGCCCAGCTTTGTTTCGCACCCCAGCAGGAGCTGTCCGCCCGGCCACAGGACCCATTGTCTTTGCCCCCTATTAGCTTCCTGGGGAGACCAGGGCTCATTTCCCAACAGCTGTTCTCCCCTCCTCCCCAGATGTCTCGGTTTCCTCCATCCCACACAGGAAAGCCTTTTACAGCCTAGGGGGTCCTGCCCAATCTAGTAAGAGCTGGGCTAGTTTTTAGGGCAGCTGCCCTTCAGTCTGTACTGAGCATTCCACTAATGCTCCTCCTGGCCCAAGGACCACCCATACGCACCCTCCTTTCCCTTCCTCCAGGGCTAGTCCTGGGCTCCCCACCATTCCCCAGCCTGACCTCCAAGGAGCAAACTGAGAAATCCCAAAGATTTATGCAAAATCCTCATACCAGCCCCATGGTGCTCTCAGCCCACATGACAATAGACCCTAGGAGTCTTAACTTTGGCCTGGGTAACCTTGTGCTGGGCTGGAAGTCGTCCCTGCTCACTAGATTCTTCAGAGAATCACTGGAGATGAGGGATGGGGTCTCAAGCTGGAATGGGTTCAAGGCTATTTGGACAAGGTGACACAGGGGCGTGGTGGGAGACTGCGGAGAAATTAAGCCATGCTGAAGTGGGACTGAAAGCTTTTAGGGGCTTCAGTTGCCCTGCTGGGCTGAGGCCAGGATAGGAGCAGGTAAGGGGGATGTTCCAGCCAGGCTGTTCTAATGGAGGTGACCCAGCCCACATGAGCTCTCCCCTCTTCTTCTTTGATGCCTCCTGAACTCTAGCTCTTAGCAGGGGAGGGCACTGGCCATCCCTCAGATTATGGATCCCAGCTAACAGTGAACCTCCCAGGCTCCCAAATGCAGAGCTTTCCCCTCCAACTCCCCACCCCAAACTGGGCCCCAGCACTAATTGCAGCTTCCCTTCCTCTCAGCCAGCATCCAAGCCCCCCAACAGGGAAGCTGAGCGTTGGGATCCAGTCTGATACTCTCAAGACCCATTTTCATGTAAAGTTACTGTCACAACCTCCATGCCACTCCAGACTGCCCCCCATAACATGGGACTTTGCCAGTATCCGCCTGCATCTTATTTTTTAAATAATTCCAATGGGAGAACAAAGGGGGGGAGGGCAGGGAAACTCTTTGATAAAAGTTATGGTTTTATTGTACCCAGTGCATCAATAAATGAATCTTAAGCCCAAGCCTGTAAATGCCCTACCACGACTTGCCCAGCCCTGGGCCCCTGGTGCTACTCACTTCTCACACCTTGGGGAGGAGGGCACACCTATGCTAGGTGTGCGCATTAGAAGCATGAAGTAAGCACAGGAAGTTGTGGATTACAACTCACTTGATAACATGGGTTACAAGCTCACTTTGTAACATGTTTAAAGTGTAAACATCCTTCTGAGCCCCAACAGATCTGTTAGCTGAGAAGCTGCTCCTGGTTTGCCTTGTTGGTCAGGCATCTGAGGTAAGAAGGGCTAGAGGAGCACCTTGTCCAGCCTTCACCATGGCAGCGGGCACACAAACCCAGGGAATTTATAAAAAGAAGTCCAGCTACTAGCTGCAAACCATAGAAAGGGGTGAAGACCAGTCCCCACAGGCACGAGGTCCCACTGGGTACTGAGTGGCTGCTCTGGTGACTAGATGGGTAGTACAATCCTGCCCCCTGGTGGTCAGGGGAGAGCAGTGTCCCAGCCTCCAGGGCCGGTAGGCATAGCACCTTGAAGACGGAGCAGCACAGGGTACAGGGGCAGCTGGTCTGGAGCCACAGACATAACATCGTAGGCTAGAGAGGATCTAGAAGACCATCTAAGCAACTTTCGTCACCTTACAGGTGAGAACACTGAAGCTCAGAGAGGAGGAACGCCTTGCAGGGTCGCAAAGCTAGCTGGTGGCTCCCAGCCCAGCCATCATTCCATTCCACCTCAACCAATGAGGGCCACATGCTTCCTGAGGAGGAGGAAGCAAAATAATTGGGAGAAGAGTTAACACAGAATATTACACTTCACAGGAGGCTAGCTTCTTCCAGCCAAGGAAAGGATCAGGGTGTTGGATGAGGCACCAGACACCAGCATGCACACTTGCTCATGTGCACAACACCGGGGTGCCCTTTCTCTGAAGGTGCTGTGTGTGTGTATGAGATTGACAGGAAACCTAGAGGCACAGGACCCGTGATAGGAACTGGACTCGAGACTGGGCACTTCTGCATGGCAGTTCTGCTTCCTGTCCAGGGCATGGGAAAGGGATGCTGACCCACAACGGCCCCAGATCACAGCAGGGCTTCTCTGAAGGTGCTGTGTGTGTGTATGAAATTGACAGGAAACCCAGAGGCACAGGACCCGTGATAGGAACTGGACTCGAGACTGGGCACTTCTGCATGGCAGTTCTGCTTCCTGTCCAGGGCATGGGGAAGGGATGCTGACCCACAATGGCCCCAGATCACAGCAGGGCAGATACATAGCTGGGAGAGGTGGGCTTGGGGCACTAACCTAGACTATTTGCATTTCCCAGAGTTGGAAGGAAGCAAAAGTGACTTGAGCCTAGGACAGCCCAGCTGCCTGGCCCAGAGCGGGTTCCCCCACTGACTGGGAAGGACAGCTTCCCCTACCCCATTCCACTACCACCCAGCCTCTACCAGAGCCCCAGAAGCTGGAATGGGGCTGGGAAGGTGAAGAAGGCGTGGCAGCTCTTCAGCCATCCAAGGAGCCACTGCCCTTGTTCTTGCGGCTGAGGGGGAAGGCAGACTTGCTCTGAGGCTGGGTCATCTTGCTGGCCAGGTAGATGAAGGGCTCTAGCAGAGAGCGGCGGTCAGCCACCGACACCTCCCAGAGCTTCACCTTCTCTGACTTGGCCCAATGCTGAGCCACATCTGGGTCTACACGCCGCTGCTCCTGCAGGTCACACTTGTTACCGAGGACCACGATGGTGACCTAGGGAAGAGGGACAGAGTAGAGGCCTGTGGATGTACAGTGGACCTCCAGAATGGGTATGAGGGCTGGCAACCCTCTAAGAGTCCTGGGAGAAGGAAAGTTTCAATGGCTGATGTCTCACCGCTTCCTATATCAGAAACCACGGAGTAGGGACAGGGAGACGGGGCGCTCCTCTCCTTCCTCTGCTCAAGTCCTGGCCTCCATCTAGCCCTTTCTCTGCGAGTTCCACTACAAGCCTCGCATCATCCTTACCCACCCATTAGCAGTTACATTCTAGCTAAACAACCGGTTATGAAGCACTCCCAGAATGCCTGTTGCTTAAAGGAGGATTTGCAAATAGAAGGGCCTTCACAGCTAAGGGCACAGAACCGTTTTCACAGAAGACTAGTGGGGGGCTTCACGCATTAAGTAAGGGACCTCTACAAATGAAGAGAAGCCTCTTTGGTTGAGCTGCCTCAACATATGGCAACTGCTACAGGTAAAGATACCCTCCAATTGCCTCCATCCCTACTCCAGCTCCTAACCTACCTTCTGGCAAATGAAGGAAAAGCAGCCCTGCCAGGCCTCCCCAAGCCAGCCCAAGGCTCACACTCTCTTACCACTGGGGTCCCCCCCACACACCTCCTTCTTATCTTTGGATTTGTCAATCTCCTTCTTGAGCAGTTCCACACGCTGAAAGGACTCTCGGCTGTCTGTGCTGTAGACCAGGACGTAACCGTCAGTGCAGGAGAAGCAGTGCCGGGGCAGCTCCGCCCCATCTCGGAGCCCCCGGGTGTCATAGAAACGCACCTGTTCCCGCACCCCCCGGTCAGTCTCAATGGAGCCCACGTAGATGTCCTCCTGCGTCTCAATCATCTCAGAACCTAGGTCAAAATGAGGAGAAAACTTATTTGTAGGGAGGATGGAGATGTCAAACATGAAGGACTGAATATATCCTAACAGGCTAACCAGGCAAGGAAAGCAAGGAGTGTGAGGGCTCAGGAGAGAAGGCCAGAGACTGACAATCTGACGGGACTGCAATGATTTGGGGAACAGACATTAATCTCATGCCAATCACCAGGCTAAACAAACGTGTGACTTGGAAGGTTTTCCTATCTCGCAACTGGGTTTTCTCTCCAGATTTCTTCAATGTGGTAAGGTTGGGATTATGATATAGATTTTTCTCATTTGGGACGTGAATGGCCAGCTTTCAGCCTTTTTATGTTGAGATCAAATCATACTCCTTACTCAACGTCTTCCACTATGCCCCCACCCCCCAAAACACTCACCCACTACATGGTTCCCATACAAAAGCTGTTCCAGGATTGAAGTTTTGCCCACAGATGCCTGGCCGCACACGACCACCTTGCAGCTCTTCCCCATGCTCAGGCTCCAACCCTGAAGAACAAAAGCACACTGGGTGAGGTGGGAATCAAAAGAGGGCAGAGCTGCCATTAACTGAGAGCCCAAGTTCCAAATGAAAGCACAGCCTCGGGGATTCAGTGCTGTCCCCTACAGTAATCAGACTATATTGAGGTGATGTGTCTATGTCCACTACTGGACAGTGAGCTGTATTTTATCCCTCTTTGTTATTCCCAATACATGGCCGGCAACTGTCACAGAACAGGTACTCAGTAAATGTTATCATTAAGACATAAGACAGTCACTGATTTAAAGGAACCCCCGGTTAGGTTCCTTTCTGTGCACAGATGTGGAGGACCAGTTGTTGAAGGGAGCTCCGGCTCAGCTTCCTCTCTTTAACCATGACCCCATGGAGAAATAAACAGGAATATTATTTTGTGTAGATCTATCTTAGGCCAACCTTCCTGGGGAGGCAGGTGGGCGGTAAGCAAGTGAGGATATTTTGCTTTCCTGTAAGGCTTATGTGGACAGAAATCAACCCCTTCTAATTCCCAGTCAAGTTCATGGCTAAGATGAGAAACATCAGAAAAGAAAGAAGTGAAGGAATCTAGGGAGAAAAGGCTTTGGAAAGGAGAAAATGTTTGCTGCCCTTGGAGTGACAGGGCAGCAAAAGCTGACAGAGAAAGCCCTCCTCTGAACGAAGAGATCCCAGACAGAGCTCTCCTCAAAGGGATCCCAAACAGGTTTCCCAGGAGCCCTAGGCAAAGATTTCCCCAGAGTACAGAGATCACGTCCAAAAGGAGCCCCAAACAGAACCCTCCGCAGAGGAAACTCCTGATACAGAACCCTCTCATCCAAGGGGCCCCACGGGAGAGTGAGCCCTGAAACTAAGGGAGACCCCAAAAAGGACTGGACTGCCCAAGGTGCATCCGCCACAGCTCTCCCCACGAAGGGGCCCCAGAGGGAACGGGCGACAGAGACCTGCCACCTAAGGCGGCCCGGATCCCGGCCTCCCAGCTCCGTACCTCCCGGGCCCCTCGCAGCACTGCGGGACAAGCCCCTGGAGGCGCGCGGGGACCAGGGGCGGAGCAGCACAGCCGCAAGGACGCACTCTCGTCCCGGATCGAGCCAGGCTCCGTCTGGCCCCGCCCCGCAGCTTCCGGCCAGCAAAACGAATTCCGGCCGCGGTGAGCGGGCGCCGGCCGCTCAGCGCCCCCCAGCGGCTAGCAGGGAAATCGATGGACTCGTGGGCCGGAGTACGCGGTTCTAGGCTGCCGGACGCCTGGTGCTGTACTGGTGTCTCTGATGCCAAAATATTCTTTCTCTAAAGGCCACCGTAGTACAGTAACATTTCGTTTAGCAATCGTTTATTCATCAGATGTCTTCTGAGCACCCACTCTGTGCCAGGTAGAGGACTACGCGGTGAGAAAAAGAGGACGAATTAGGGTAGAGGAGCTAGACATCCAAACCAACAATTACAGTACAATATGGTAAGAACTACCACAGAGGTGCTCTGGGAGCACAGCAAAGGGGCATTTAACTTGGGGCAGTGGGCATCACAGAGACCTTCCTGAAGGAGGTCATCTTTGAAGGGGATGGGAGGAAAGAGTGGAGGAATCATGGCAACTGTCATGGCATTTTCTGGTACTACAAGTTATTTGGGGTCGGTATTGATGGTAGAAAGGTGACAAATAATCAACGGCCTAGTATGACAGGCCAAAGAGTTCAAACTATATCCTAACAGCAGTGGAAAGCCATGGATAAGTTTTATGCCAGTGACGTGACATAATCAGTTTTTGCTTTTAAGCACGTCACTGTGGCAGAGGAGTGAAAATGAGAGAGATAAAATGAATATGGTAGTATTCCAAGTTTGTAAAAAGTGATGAGAAACTGAACTTGGATGCAAAAGAGATAGATTTGGGAGACATTTGGTACAAGATTCAACAAGACTTGGTGACACAGGAAGTCAGGAGTAAGAAAAGGAATTCATGATGTAGCCCATCTTTCTCATTTTGTGACCAGGTGAATGGTGAATCCATTCAACACGATGAGGAATTCAGGAAAAGAGAATCAAGCACGGCATCTGTTTTTTCTGTTATTGAGGAGTGGGGAGAGCATGACAAGTTAATTTCAAATATGTTAAGTCTTAGGGATTTGTGAAACATTCAAGGTATATCCAGTAGATAGTTGGATATACAGATCTGCAACTCAGAGGAGAGTTTTAGGTTGGAGATATCAACAGAATTGAAAGCCATCTATAGATAAAGTTAAAGCTGAGGGAATAAATGAGTTGCTTAGATGCAGAAAACACAAAGTGGGAAGAAGGTTAAAGCACCTTTGCCTCCTGCATCAGACTGTGAGCCATTGGCAGGGAGAGCAGGTGGTCTGTGAGTCTGTGTCCTTCCAACCCAGCATGAAGTAGGCACTTTGGAGAGGGCTACTGAATGATTGGTCAGATGAATGATCTCTCTCTTACGACCCCATCCTCTTCCAACCTTCCTCCCCTACCCATTGGAGGGTGTGGCTTCTGCTCCCTTGGCACTGGGACAGGCAAGGCCATGCAAGTGGGCTAACAACAGCACACACTCTTTAACTGGAAGAAGAGAGTAGATTCTCTTTAATACTCTTGCCCCCTTATTTTAGTTCCTCTTAACCTAAAAAAAATTTAACCTCAAGCCCCCATTTTAACCTCAGAAAACTACAAGTTAATTCAAGTCCACAAATACTATTGGTTAGGGTGAGTAAAGTACTACAAAGATGATTAGGCTGTGTCCTTGCCCTCTATGAGCTCCCACTCCGTACTGCAGTCGACAAGACAAGCGTGCTGAGCAGGAAGTTTGTATAAAGGATGGGAGTACTGGGGACACTGCGGAGAGGGGACCTCACCCCGCAGGCTGCCCTATAAACTCCAGGGCCTGGTCTGGGGCGCCGTACCCCTCTTCTTTGGCTTAATGCTGAGATGGCACTCCAAGGCGACCTACATAAAAGCAGACTCATAAAAGGGTCAGCGTCATTAGGATGATGAATCAGTTAGTGCTTGGACATCCAGAGGGGATGAAAGGCGCGGGGGGTAAGACATCCCGCGTTCCCCTGGCTTGGTTGGGCAGGGCTTCCAGAGGCCGATGAAAGCTGGGGGAACTGGGCTCAAAGTGTCTCCTCTTGCCTTTCCCGGGAGGAAGCTGTGGGCATACTGCAAGTCTGGGAAGATAGTAGTGGAAGGTCTTTCTTCCCAGTCTCGGGTCACTGGGTCCCCATCCAACTCAAGACTCCCCTGAACCTTAAGAAGCGTCTCAAGGATTGGAAGTTGCTGTGGCAACGAGACTCTCAGAATACTGAGGAAAGCCAAGGCCTAGAGAGACGACCCACTTCCGACCCACGGGTAAAGTGGCGCCCCCTACGCACAGGACCCATCCCTGGGCCTCTGCCCCGGCGAGGAAACCGCTGTGGACCTCCAGGAGCGAGAGGCCACTCTGGCACCAAGCGGAGCCGCTCGCTGGTAGGCGGGCCCGGGGGATCCCCTCTGGGCGCAGCGTCGCGGTGCTGCTCGATGCTCCTACCGGAAGTGCTCTTCACGGCCGGCCGCCCACCGGCCTCTCTGGTCTCGGCGGTAAGATGGCGGCTGCCGTGGAGTGCGATGTGGTAATGGCGGCGACTGAGCCAGAGCTGCTGGGCGACGAAGAAGCGAAGAGGTAACCAGGTGGCAGGTAGTGGAAGGGGCGAGCTTCAGCTCTGTGGCTCCGGGAAACTCGTCCCTGCCATGCTATAGCCCTTAGCTGTTGAGATGCTCCGCCCTCCGCTAAACCCCCACCCCCCCACATGAGTTAAGTCCGGAGGGAGCCCCTGAAGGGGCGCTGTCGGAGGTCAGCCCTCCCCTCCCGCTTCCGCCTGGCGGAGAAGCTGAGGCACGGCCTTGTTCTCCAGCCCAGAGAAGGGTCGTTCTTATTATAGATCTCTGAGGGGCTCTCCGAGGTCAGCTGCGGGGTGGGGGAGGCGGCGCGGCAACGGTGACGGCTCCTTATGTCGCCCCCGACCCCAGCCTTCTCAGCTTAACTTCTGCGCATTGTTGTCTGTCAGCACTTTGCATCTCCAAAGCCCTTGCTTTCTTTACCCCCTTTTCTCAGTAATTAACGCCCCAGCGACCATTAGTTTGGGTCCGAGGTGATTGTGTATCTCCGTTATTGACCTGGTTGCCCCCCACACTCCCATTACCCCTGATCGAAGTCGATAGAGAAGGAAGAGTGAGGGGCTTGTTTCATGCTCTGTAACGTCAAACTTGTTCCTCCGTCGTTCAGAGTAAGAATCTCATTCTTCTCAGGACCGTTCTTTCTTAAGAAGCAAGGAGGACAGCTGCTTGGGTGCTGCTGTTGGCACTGCTGGGCAGCCGCAGTGGCTGGAGATCGCCAGTCGGGACTAGGCAGGGGAGCTGCTGAGTGAGTTGTTTTCGAGAACACTCTGGATTCTGGCTACAGCTAAGGCAGGTTTTTGGAAGTGGGGTTGGAATACAGTTGTGGGTAGTCATACTTGTCCTAATCCTGAGGCAGAATTAACGAAAAGGTTGTGGAAGTTTAGGCCGTTTCCTATCAGCTGCAGATTAATTGACTGCAATTGCTTTCTCACGTATTTTTTATCTTTATACTAAGCCCGTTATGGCTTCATTCTGGACGATTTGAGCTGGTGACATCGAATTAGTTCATGAGATCTGAAGTCAGGATTCTGAGATTTTTATACAGTGCAAATTAGAAACATAGGAGGTACTATAGTGAGGCAGAATGGTTATCAAACTTAGGGTAGTTTGCAGCCTGTGTCCCTAGTTCCCTACCTGTTGGTAGCTGAGAGGCTTGACAAAGTGCAGTAGGTCCCTGGGGTAGCGGAGAAGACAGGATACCAGAGTCCAGTTTCTCTGTGTTCATAGTTTTGAGTTTTCACATCATTCCTTGTTCTTCCAGGTATTTAGAATTAAGCATTATCATCATCACTAAGGAACTGTAAAATGGGAAACAAAACTTCACCAACACAGACAGAGCTTAAATTAGTTGTAAGGATTTACTTTACCTGTTTGTGGAAAGCATTCAGTGGCTTTTTGTGCTATAAATAGGGACTTGGACTGTATGTAGCAATTTAAAAAAACCTCATCCTACTTAGTATAAATCTCTGATGTGGGGACTGTCTTTAATCAGCTTTCACTTCAAAGTCCCCAGTATAAAGCAGTCCTTTTCCTGCCCTCCCTCACCCAAAAAAAATCACAGCCTTAGAGGATATTGTTTCTATCATAAAATTATAGTAAATGAGCCTGAAGATACATTAAGAAATGTAAAACATGATGCTGTAATGTGCCATATCACACAAAAACATTTGGTATTAGGTACAACATAACATTGTACAACAGAATAAGGGAGGGTGTTGACTTATGTTAACTGCCATATTTCATGAATTCAAGATGTCAGTGATTGTAAAATGCGTGGTTGGTTTATCTGCCACTAAGAAAAAGTAACTAAACGTAACTATGAAAAAAATGCATTCTTACCTAGTAGCTTACATCTTATACATATTCATATAGATCTCTTTTAGACATAATAAAACAGGTGTTTACTGTATACCATTTACATGAACAAATCAAACGGAAAATATAGTGACATTTAAAAAAACCAGTTTGACTTTTTGCCATATAAGTCATCCTTAGGAGGGTAAACATTGAGATCTGTTTAGTAAGAAAAAGGCTTTTTTTTGGTATGGTTTAACAGTGCTGAAAACAGAGTGGTAGTTTTGCTCTGGAGGAATGTGGTTTTACATTTTTCATGTGTCCTGGAATCCTCCTGTGCAGAGGGCAGCGATAGGGACATCCCTTACAAATGCCCTTTACTACCTGGCTTGATTAGTCATTTGGCCAAGTTCATGTCTCCTTACAGTCCCCCCGAGACACAGTAGTTGCTGGGTCTCTTGGGTTGTTTCTGTGAAGTCCAGTTAGGAGTCCTTCCTTCCTTGTGTCTTGGCTCAAGGGAATCCTGCTGCCGCTAGATTGTTAGAGTCCCATGGGGAGCAAAGTGAGAGGAGCTCTCAAGATATTGGACCTCATGGTTGCAGCATTTTAAATGGCTGCATGTTTTATTTCCTTAGCTTTAGTGCCTCTAGAGAGAAAAGAAATGGGCTTCAGTTTTTTTGCCTCTCACTCTGACGTTCTTTT